AAAAAAAAAAAAAAAAAAAGATATAATGAAAGCTAGTTTAGTCTTTTCTGACTTATGGCCTTTGTATATACACATACCGTTGATTGAGAACATGAGGGCAAAGTTGGATCCCAAGTTTTGTGATTATTTGCTGAAAATTGGAGATGGAACAGAGCAAGTACATACTTGTAACTGCATTAAGCTTCCAAACAGTATTATTTTACCATTTAATGATAAAATTACATCTTTAAAAAATTTAATAAATCATGTTTTTCCAAATATAGAAGCGACTGTTGATAATTTACATACGATGGGAAATTGAGTAATTCTTACGCCTAAAAATGAATGTGTTGATCATGTTGGAAATGGAATAGAGGAACAACACAGTTGTAACAACATTCAGCTTCCAAGCAATATAATTGTACCATTTGATGATGAAATTACATCTCTGAAAACGTTGATAAATCATGTTTTTCCAAATATAGAAGCATATGTATCAATTTACATGCAATGACAAATCGAGTTATTTTTACGTCTACAAATGAATGTGTTGATCATATTAATAGAATTTTACTAGAACAAATTCCTGGCAAATTTTTACATATTATAGTTTTGATGAAGCAATTGACAGATCGGAACGGAGCCTACAAGAAGATTTCTTGAATAATTTGACCTCAAATAATATTCTGCCACATGAATTGAAGCTCAAAGTAAATTGTCATGTAATGTTAATTGAGAAACATCAATTCTTCTGAAGGGTTATGCAATGGAACATGCCTTGTCAAAAATTTGAGAAGAATGTAATTCTTGCTGAAATCACAACTGGCGAGTACTGTGGAAAACATTTTTTTATTATCAAGAATCCCTTTTATACTTCTTAAGAGTGATCAGAATGTAATTCCATTTAAGACGATAAATAAAGCACATGGTCAAAACACTTGATTTTGTTGGTTTGTATCTTTCAGAACCTGTTTTTTGCCATGGTTAGCTTTATGTAGCATTATCAAGAGCTAAAACAAGCACGTCTATAAAAGTTTTGCTTGAACAATCAAATGCTGACAATTTACACAATGCATATACTAAAAATGTTGTCTACAAGGAAATCATTTCCTTCATACATCCGTAGAACTACAACATTTTCTTAAGTACTTTCTAATGTTTAGCATATCTGAAACTCTCCTCTAAGATCAAATTCAATAGAATTAAAATGGATTATCATTTATTTCCTTTTAAATTTGTTTCCTATATATTAATGCAGAATAACTTGGTTGTACATAATTCAAGGACCTTCTAAATTCATGTAATGAATTACATCGAACAATTTAACAACCTTACAAGGAGTAACTTGCCGAAGAGCAGGAGAAATACGAAAAAAATTGAAATACAACCTGATAAGGTTAATAAAATTTTATTTTAGAAATATCTTTTATTGATGTAATGTGTTGTATAATATTTTATCTTTTCCTTGTTCAATACACAAATTGAATGTTTACATATTTTCATAAGTAATATGAGATCTTTTCACATCACATTTTGCTAAAAATGAAAATCTTTACAATCTAATGATTCTTATCAGCTTATTCCTTAAAAAAAGATGTCCCTTTAAATTGACGCATTCTTTTTGGATCATAAATTTTTGCCTTTAATTGTACTATTTACTTATCAGATTACTTTGATTGTAGGGTGAAGCATATTGCCTATTTTACATAAAAAATTAGTAGGTTGGTACTCTGTGTAACAACTGGAACACTTATTCTAAAAGAGGCAAATAGAGATGGCGTCTGAATCTTTGAAATGTCTTGTTTAATTAATCAGCTACAACTATAGTACCACATGTTGCTACAATCATCCTGAAAGAAATGGTAACTGGGTGTGTTCATCATGTTTTGACATTTTCCAGTTGATCAATGTTTCAAATAGTAAATTGTTGAAGTTTTTTTTTTTTTTTGAGTAATCAACCATCTTACTGCTATTGCACATGTTATAGCTTATCCTCGTGCACATTTTATCTTTGGAGCTGTTACTCCATCAACATCTCTTTTTCCACCTTTTGATCTTAGGTTGATTGAGACATCGATATAGTAAAAATTGCTTATGCTTTCGTCTGGTTCACAGCATCCTTATGATGCATGAAATTGATTAATTACGATTGTTAAGTGTTTGATATTTTGCACAGTGTATTTTATCTTAGATTGTTTATTGCTTTGCAATAGTTGTTTATTATCTTTTCATTGACGAGCTCATAAATATTTTAAGATTCTTATTATTTGATTCGGAACATATTCTATCCCCTGAGCTAAGTTTATGATTCTTAAGAAGTTTAGAAATTGAAATTTTCCCCTAGAACTTTATGGGGTTTAGCTTAATATGCTTATCTCTCTTCTCCACAAGCTTCCAAACTCTTATTCCGTAACTGGAATCTCTGCAGGCATCAGCAACAACAACTGATGGAAGTGTCAATCTGCTGCGACCACCCTCGACATGCTCTCAAAGATGCTAACAATTCTGCAGGGTACGTATTCAAATCTGACCCTTCCTTATTTTGTTAATTTTCATAAAATTACATAACTTAAAATGTTGAAATCTTACATGGTCAACATTGACATTTCATTAATATAGGTCTATGTTTTTGGCTAACTCCTCTTGATTTCAAAGGAGACTTTCGTAGAATTCCTATCAAAGGCCACATGTACTGCCATCGATTGAGTCCAGATGCCTAGGATGAAGGTTTGTTGTGTTTTGTCTAAATTCATTTGTTAATTGAATCATTTACACGTTTCCCATTAATTATATAGTTTCCAATTGTAAGATCAAATTCAATGGCACGTGTGAATTTTTATTTCTATTGTTAGCTAGGTCCGAATTCAGTTGGGATCTTTGCCATTTCTCAAAATTGCGGTAGAGTGGCAGCTCTAGTCTACAGTCTTTTTAGTTTAGAACGTGCAAATGTAAGATCTCGCAATTCTAATACTTTTTCCTTTGGTCCTTATTCCAGGTTCTTATTTATCACTTCATGGTTATCTGATCCTATCGTGTAACATATTGTGGTTAGTTGTCTCAAAATTCAACTCATACATATTTTTCTTTAAATTTTGTAGATTGCATAGATCCTTAAAGATCGTTCTTCTTCTTGGTTGTAAGACTGTCTGAGCCTTGAAGTTTTCACTATATTTCTTGTTGGAAGTAGAGGTACAATTGAACTTGTGTATGCACAAGTAAATTATTCAAATCTCTTGGTCCTATAATGTTCTACATTCATGTTCCCATGTGGAAGAAATACATCATTAAATGCTAATTGCACACTTATACACCAACAACACTTGCTCTTGCTCATGACTTTCGGACTCTGAGATACCTGACCACCCTAGAAAATGAAAATCTTGTGGTATGCATCTCTGGATCTTTTTATTCGCTTTTTTTCCTGTGTCAATTTATGGATGTCTATAGCTGAATATAGACTTCTAACCAAGTGACTGATATAATCATCATGAATGTGTTTAATTTTCTTGATATCTGGAACTAAACTGAAAAAACTCTTCTTCATATTTGAATAAAGTGAGCATTGAATAACTTGCATTACCATTTTTTTCTCTCATTCTCAAGCTCTAGAAAACCTTCCCATCATTGATTAAACCTTCATGGGAAGGTTGCACTTTTACACAGACTAATCCAAAAGAAAGAGAAAGATATATGAATAAAATGGCCTTATTTGCAAGTTTCACAATTGTCTGGACTAAGATAAACTGTTATTGCATTTGTTCCAATATTATATGTGCTCAAAATGTCTTTAATCTATTAAAATGGGTTATTACAACTTTGTGAACCGTGATTAGCGGTGGCAATTGGGTCGAGCGGCTCGTCGGCTCGGGTGCTCGACTCGTACTATTCATACCCACGAGCCGCTCGAGCTCGTAAAAAAAGGAGCCCGAGCACGAGCCGAGCAGGTGGCTCGGTAGACGAGCGGGGCCTGCTCGGCTCGGCTCGTTGAGCAACGAGCCGCTCGACAAGGGGCTCGTGTCTTTAGAAAAAAAAATAAAAAAAAAAGAAAAAAATTTGTTGACCCAAACAGTCACTGAACTTTTCAGTGACCGTTTGGTTGACCAAACGGTTCAGTGACCATTTGGTCACTTAAAATAAAAAATATATATATTTATTTTCAATTTCATATACATTTTTCTTCTATAAATACCCAC